TTTTGATTTTTTTCCTTCCATTTTTGATTGGATCGGTTCAATTTATATTGAATACGCCTACTTGTGATTTATTTATGTGGAAACATGGCAACTTGTGATTTATTTACTTGAAATGTTAAGGAAACAATTCATGCCTTCGTGGAAGCACTAACTAGACTAATATGTAAGGAGGATCACTTGTCCCAAAATATTAATATTTATATATCACAAATCAATTAAATTTTTACGAGTAATATAGAAAGATTATTTTGCATTTTTTTAATTTTTAACTTCATTAAATCGGAATAGGATTTTGGGATGGAAATGAAGACATGTAATCCATATTCATATGACAGTCAGAATCTTTAAATTCCAAAGTTGAAAAAACTAATACACAATTTCCTTTGGAATTAATGCTCCCCACTCTTGGTGGGATGTCACATAGATATGTTCTGCACTCCATAAAATATATATTGTGTAGCAGAAAGAATTGAAACTGAAGTTTGAAATGAGCCTAAAGATAAATTAAACTTTGGAATATCAACCAAAAATGTATAGCAGATGAACTAAATGATATATACAACAAGGTTTACTAAAAATAAAATTTTAAGACTTAAATGTATTTTTTGAGTGAAATTATGTTGAGTTTTGGTTTTGTTCTGATAATTTGTATTTTTTATTTTGGTCCTTATATATTTCAAAGTTTTAGATTTAATCAGTAGGGATGATGTGATTGACAACAACCTATCACATATGTTAAACTAATTAATTGTGTGAGATTACTCTTCATTAATGAAGAGAGAAGATAGGAGAAAAACAAATAAAATAACACTTATATCATTTTAAGTTACATAAAATATTACAGTTTTACCTTTAAAACTAAATGGAAAAAAAAAACTTTATTCTCCATTACTTTAGAGGAGTCTCACTCTAATTAATTAAGTGATTAATTGTGGTGTTCACAAATTATTAACATAAACAATGATAACAAAAAAAAATAAACAAAAATAAAATCATCATCTAAATTAGAGACTAAAAACTAATGGGGAAATTGGTGAACTAAGAACATGTCTAAGAAAAAAAATTAACAATACCAAAGCAATGAGCTGAACCTATAAAAAGCCACTGAAAAAGTAAATAAAAAACAATCCCACAAATATAACAATAGAAAAATGTACATGAGTAATATTAAATCCTTCTTTTTTCTATGATTTCTGAATAAAAACCTAACTCCTGGATAACCATAAATCTATACAGTATAGTATATCAATTAACTTCCAAATCTAAAAACATATAAATATGAATTAAATATCAAAAGATATATGGTAAGAATAAATATAAATGATAAAATTAATTATCATAAAATATAAGAAACCATTTATTCAGCAAACTTGATAATTTCTCTCTTCATAATCTGTAGTCAGTATTATCCCACATGCATTCCATATCTGAGAGGGTAGCAACTGATGATGGAACTTCAAGATCATCATACAATACTCCATTATTGTTCCTTCCTATGTTGTCATGCTTAGAAACCACTGAAGATGTTGTGTCAGTGTTTCTGTCATTGCTGAGACACGTTTCTTGAGAGACACTTACCATAGATTGGTTATTAGAAGTGAATTGCTCCATCTTGCACTGCATGTTGTTCAATAATACACACATATTTTCTTTATTATTATTCCCTTGGTGTACATAATAATCTGAGATCATGTTCTGTTGAGACTGAGAAACTGTGTTCAACATTATTGGACTACCATTAGTGCAATAATTCCATTGAATATTATTGATTGTATAGTTATTGGTAAGATTATTAGGAATCTCATAGGTTCTATCCTCTTCTAGCTTCATCAGCATGTTCTGGTTTTGATTGTTGTTATTGATGAAGAAGTTTGAAAGATAGTGATTATTTGATGATGGTTTAGTTGATGATGAAGATGGTTGGTTAGTGCCATAAGAAGGATCCATGAGAGGTGACGGTGAAGAAAAATCAAGAAGATCTTCTCCAATTGAGTTCATCCTAAAAGGAGGGATTTTTCTAACATCTGTGTTCTTATGAAAAACCCTTGAGACAACCCATTCATCCTGCAATAATATCACACAAAAAATAAGTCATAAATGTTTAGATTATTGACAATTTAACTCAATAAATTATGCAAAAAGTATGAATGATTAAAGTATATGAAAGAAACTCTCAAACAAACAAAAAAGGCACTTTCTAAATAAATAGTCATCATCATAAAGCAATATAGAGAAATTGGAAGAAAAAAAATGCGTGATTAAATTATCAATCTTTTACCCTTCAACATTATCAATAAAAAAGAATGGACAAAGATTTGTTGTCCCCAAACACTTCCCAAATTTGTCCCAGACCAATCAAAATATGATACGTCAATTATAAAAATTAAATATTCATAATTTTTTATATTTTTGCTTCATTTTGATTCGTATGGGACAGGTTCGGGAAGGACAACAAATCCTTCCGAAAAGAGAATGTACCTTTGCAACTTTAGGGAGGTTATAATTTGCATATTTGCCTTCTAATCTGAATTCATGAATAACCCAATTGGTTTTCTCTCCCTTTGGAGCTCTTCCTCTATAGAAAACAAGGGTCTTTTTCATCCCAACCAAGTTACCTTTCCCTTTGTATATCTCTTTATCTTTTCCAGTGGCTTTCCAATACCCTGATTGTGTAGCACGATTTGTTCTCATTCCTGTTGGATACTTCCTATCTCTTTGGCAAAAGAAAAACCAATTATCTTTCTCTCCCATCTTTGCTTTCTCTACACAATTATAGTCATATGACATGGTTAAAATCTACAAAAATATATTAGTTCATATCAATTAATGTGTTATTATGATATTGAAATATTCAATAACAATAATCAAGTAATGAAAGTGTCGAAGGAATGAAATGAATGAGGTTGTGAGTTCGAGTCTTACCCATAACAAATTAAAAAAGAAAAGTTATAAGGTGGTTTGATATACTGAGAAGATGTGAAGAGAAGGAGGCTGAAGATTCAAGTCTCGTCCCACAACAAAATACTAATGTACTAACATTTGCCCGATAAAAAACAATAATCAAGATTTTAAATCTAAGTTCATGGTAGCAATTGACCTGAAACATTATAGTTTTAGAAGTCTCTGCAATTACAAAACTACAGAGAAATCACAGACACATATTTTCATAATTGTGGTAAATACTAGACCCTAATTTAAATCCATGATAATAATTATTAATGATCAATCAAATTTCAAATGGAAAAAAAGAAGTCATGATCATAAAGGAAAAGTTGATTATGAGAGGCTTACTAGGCAAATCCCAAGGCTCACACTTGTTGAAATCAGCTTCACCCATAGAAATTGCACTAAAATTGTTATTTAACACCTTCTGTGTGAGATAGTAAGTGATGATTTCTTCATCTGTTGGGTGGAACCTGAAACCTGGAGGCAAATCTAGTGGTTCTTCTGCTTTGTTCACCACAATAGGCTCTTCCATTACCTAAACAAATTTCTTCTACACTAAGATATGGGTTTGGTGATGGTGTAAGTTTTATATAACAAATGGGGTATTAAGAAGAAGCTTAAAAATATAGAATTTATATGAAACAAAAATACTAAGAAACTTGAGAAGAAAGAGACAGGGAAATAGCTATGGCTAGTGATGGAAGAAAGAAGAATTTGAAGAGAGATTTTGAGAAAGTGAAAAGAATGGGAAATGCTGTGTTTAAATAGAAACAGCTAATAGTTATACATAAGTTATGAGATCCGTAGTGAGCAAGGCACTTCCAAGGGAAGCTTATAAATATTGATTTTCCATTTCAATTTTTTTATACTTTTAATATCTATACAATTTTAGTCTACAAAATTTTAAATAGTCAACTTTCACCATTTTTATATTTTAATTTTTATTTATTAGTTAAAGATGACTAATAGGGTGGGTATTGGAATTTTGTAGGCCCTTTGAGGGAAAAATTGAGGTCGTAATTTATCATAAGAAAATAAATCATCTATATGTGAAAATGAGAATTTAATTATTTAAAATAATTTATACAAATGTTATAAAAATAGTTTCCCGTGAGAACATGTGATATATTTTATTTTTACTCATTTATTATTGTTACTTAGTAAGGATTTGAGTCCAACATATTTATATTTTATGGTTACATTTTTATTATCTTATAATATAATAATCAACAAAATATTAGACAAACTCATATCTAATGTAATAAGTAATAAATGTAAGAGTATATACTTTTTAAAGGAGTAGGATTTTTTGATATAAGAATAAAAGTTATGAAAAATGAAAATTATTTGTATAAATATAAATTTTTTGACTCCATTAACTATGAACTATGTGCATCACACTTACCACACATACACATTGACCGACCTTGGTTAATACATAAATTATAAAGGTTGGATAAACTTGTAAAACAAAACTCTTATATTTTTTCGATATATATTAAACTTTTTTTTTATATTTGTATCAAATAGCTAGAATTTGATACCTATGTACTTCTCCCCTATATCTACCCGTTTAGAAAGGAATGTGGTCGAAATATGGATTTAAAAGGAAAAGGTGCATCCTTGTAGACCCTTGTTTCCATGCCTCATCACTTTTCTAGAAGAGGGTTTCCTCTGTAGTAAATGTAAGGATGGCAATGGGTACCCGGATCTGCGGGTACCCACAAATAATACCTGCAATGGCTTGGGTCTGGATCCATATTTTGGACCCGTAGGTAATTGAGATCCGCATTTTTAAGATCAGCTGTTAGATGAGTCTGGGTCTGGGTAATGAGGTATCCAGAATCGTGAGTACCCGGACCCGCTATTTCTTCCTAAATATATATATATATATATATATATATATATATATATATATATATATATCAACATAATTGTAATATACATACTACAGCCCCATGTGACGAAGAGCCGACATCGAGGTGCCAAACCTTCTCGTCGATGTGAGCTCTTGGGGAAGATCAGCCTGTTATCCATAGAGTAACTTTTATCTGTTGAGCGACAGCCCTTCCACTCGGCACCGTCAGATCACTAAGGCCGACTTTCGTCCCTGCTCGACGGGTGGGTCTTGCAGTCAAGCTCCCTTCTGCCCTTGCACTCGAGGGCCAATCTGCGTCTGGCTCTATATTGTAATATCATGTGAATCTATATTGTAATATCATGTGAATCTATATTGTCATATCATATTAATCCATAATTATAATATCATATTACTTCAAAAATGTGATTGTTATGTTGTTATGTTTTTAAGCAATAATATTATGTTGTTAATTCATATGTATGATCGATATAATGTTACCTTAATAGAAGAATCCTAATGTTGAAATTGTTTTTAATGTTTGTTTGATTAAAATGAATTGTGTTTAATAATCAAATTAAGTTGTGTTTAATACTTTAAATTAAGTTTTATAATTTTTTTATCTTGTTGATTTTCTAAATAACTTATAAAATCGTAGGAAACAACTACATAGTGCACAAAATACTTGCAATTATTTTTCATATTTTGAATTTATTGGTACCCATGGATCCGCTGGGTTCCCAAGGACCCGCAGGTAGTATACTCAGCGGATATTAGCATGGGTCTGTGGCAGGTCTGGGTCCAAAAATGAAGCAACGAGACGGGTCTGGGTAATCTACTACCCGGAGAAAGAAATGTGTGAAAATGGCTTATCTTATTAGTTTGACAGATTGTGTTTATATACACAATTGTAGTATAAATGAGATCCTATAAATATGCTATAAGTAATTACAATGATGAACATAAAATGAATGAATTGGTCATGATAGCTATACATATGCAAGGACCAAATCATACAATAAATGTTCATGATACTGAAATTAGAGAAATGATATAATTTAGTGATATTGTAATCAATATGAAGTTATTGGAATCATAACTTTCTCTAACTCCCCATCTCAAACTGATGGTGACATAGTTACCCCAAGTTTGTCTCTCATTATGTTGAACCTTGTGTGTGTGTGAGGTTTAGTTAGGCAATCTGCAATTGGATCTACTGTGGGCACATCACTTTTCATTCTTTCAATTGAGCCATCTGCCTTGTACTTGGTTTTAAAAACCCACTTTGAGTCTATGATATTATTCTACCCCTCAAATGGTACTAGTGTCCAAGTGTGATTTGCTGTTAGAGCTTTAAATTCTGCATTCATGGCTTCTTTCCACCTCGGTATAGCTTGTGCTTCATTGACATTTTTTGGTTCTTTCTCCTCTTTGTGTGTCTCTGTCAGTCCTATATAAGGCAGTTTGGGCTTATAGATCCTTGTCTTGCTTCTAGTACGTATCTTCTGGACATGTTGATCGTCCTCTGATGTATCCTATGTTGGACCTATTGTTGCTGGTGCTTCATTTGTATATGGAGTTGCCTCATCTGCAGAGATCTCACTGAGAACTAGTTGATTGACAGCTAGGTCATCTTCCTGAGGGTTCACATCATTGTTAGTTGGTTCAATTGTGTGACTTGTAGTAGTACTTGTAGGTAAAGGATGAAGAACAATAGAGTCAGTTTCAGTTAGAGTTTTTAGTGGATTCCTTATGTCAAGAAAGCCACCATGAAATGGAAAGTGATTTTCATTGAAGACAACATGTCTTGAGACAAAAATTCTTCTATGAGAATTGAGGCACTTATATCCATTGTGAGAGTTGCTATATCCCAAGAACACACCTAGTGGTGTGGAATTGAAGTTTGTGTTGATTGTATGGTTTGAGGCAAGGATAGTAAGCACAGCCAAAATGCTTCAATGCATCATATTCAATTTTCTTTCCAAATAATAATGAATATGGACTTTTATTTGGGTTAATTGATGAGGGCAATATGTTGATAAGAAAAACTGAGGTCGAGAAGGTTTCCCACTAGTGGTGTAAAGGCATTTTGGTCTGTGCTAGTAGTGTGAGTCCTAATTCTGCCACATGTCTATGTTTTCTTTCTGCTCTTCCATTCTAGTGAGAGGTGTACAGACATGACATTCTGAATTGGATTCCTGACTCTATGGCTATTTTCTGAATAGGTTTATATTCACGTCCACCATCACATTGGAGGATTTTTATTTTCCTGTTAAACTAGTTTTCAACCATGTTTTTGAATTAAGTGAAAGCATGTATTACTTATAATTTTTGTTTCAAGGGAAAAATCCAAGTGAATCTACTGAAATCATCAATAAAGTGAACATAGTACTTGAAATTAGATGGAGATAAAATTGGGGATGGACCCCATACATCACTATGAATTAAATCTAAAGGTTCCATAACATGAGAAAAGTATGATGTAAATGGTAACAAGTGAAGTTTTCCAAATTGACAAGCTTCACATAATGAAAAGTGATCATTTGATGATGTCTTCACATTGCAGTTCTTCAACACCTTTTCCAGCACTTTATTGTTGGGATGTCCAAGCTTTCTATGACAATTCTCCTTGACTGACATGTAGGTACATGGGTCTTTATTGACTTGGAAGTTGACACTTGAAAGTTGGTATAATTCATCTCTAAGTTTCCCTTTTAGTAGTGCATTCCCTGTTAATTTGTCATTCACTTAACAACAGTTTGCATCAAATTCAACAATTGCATTATTGTCTGCAGTTAGTTTAGATACACCCAACAGATTTTTGGTTATTTATGGAACATACAAGACATTATGCAGTTTGAGTTTATTTAGTTCAGTCGAGTTAGAGCCCAATATTCTCAACCTGTTACTATTGCCAACTAGCAGAGAATTCTTACCATTGCTTTCGCTGAGATCTTGGAGTTTCTCATTCTGATGAGTCACATGATTGCTAGTTCCGCTGTCAAAATACCATTCATTGTCTTCGCCGTGGTAAGGTGAGACTATGAAGGCACTGTGATCTTCTTGTCTTTTGTTCCCAATATAGTGATTTGAGCTTGTGTATGACTTGTCATAACGATAAAAATATTGTACTACAGTGTGACCTATCTTGTTACATATCTGACATGTTGGTTTAGATCTACCTCTTCCTCTACCTCCTCTAAAGTTAGAGCCTCTCTAGTTGCTTCGTGTCCCAGATTTGTTGCCTCTGAATTGAGTTTGGCTTGCAAAGTTTACTGAAGCATTCATTGAGAGATTACTGAAATTGTTTAGTTGTTCTATTCTATTTTCAAATGCCAATAATTGGGCTTGCAGATCAACCCAAGTAAGGTTGATTTGATCAGATAATTTGACCACCACTGGATTATACTCAGCATCCAGGCCATTCAGTGTCTGAATTATCAAGTCTGAGTTGAAGATTGATGATCCTGCCAGCTTTAATTTGTCAAAAAGGTTCTTCATTTTGAGAAGATACTGATCCATCTTCATTTCTTCGTTGCGAGTGTTATGAAATTCTGATTTGAGGTAGATTGTTCTTAATTTTGTGTGTGCACCTGCTAGGCCTTGGGCTTCATCCCAGAGTTCCTTAGAGGTTTCACAATGCAGCAGTTGTGTTGCAATGTCAATGGACATTGAATTTCTTAGCCAACCTAGGAGAGCTTGATCGTGTGCAATCCATTTTTTATAGTGAGGATTGTTTTTCTTAGTTGTGTCATTTGTGGAGATAAATTGTTCAGGACATTCTTGAGTTCCTAGTATGTGGCTGTTAAGTTTGCAACCTCTAATCGATGGAAGAACTAGTGACTTCCATAGGAGATAGTTATCTCTATCGAGCTTGATAGAAACAGTTGTAGGTAGGTTATTTTTGTGATTTGTGTAAGAAGCGGATGAGGATGGCATGATTGGATCGAGAGCCTTCAAGCTTAAGTGCTCTGATACCAAGAAAGAAATGTGTGAAAATGGTTTATCTTATTAGTTTGACATATTGCGTTTATATACACAATTGTAGTATAAATGAGATCCTATAAATATGTTAGGAGTAATTACAATGATGAACATAAAAGAAAGGAGTTGATCATGATAACTATACATAAGCAGTGACCAAATCATACAATAAATGTTCATGATACTGAATAGAGAAATGGTATAATGCCACTGATATTATAATCAATATGAAGTTATTGGAATCATAACTTTCTCTAACTTTCGGACCTATCTAGACTCATTGTCATCCCTAAGTAAATGTTTCTAAGTCTTTTTCCGATAGAAGTATATAAAATAGTATAAAATATTAGTTTATATTTTTATAATTATTTTAATTAAATGATACATTTTAATTGGTCTATGATACTATTATGGACATCAATAAATATACCACATGTCGTTATCTCTTTCTTTCGGAAATGCACTCTATATTATTTTATTCTTTAACTAATTCAATTTACTAAGAAAATATTGATCTAGTAATATAAGGTTTTGTTAGATTTCAGAATGACTAAAATATCAGTATTTGATTCTTGAGAGCGACATTTGTTGGAATAAACAATCACACACCTGCCAAGATTAATTATTCATAATCCTTTGATTTTACAAAAATAAATATTGCTGAGTTTTATTCCTAAACAAAGAGGAAATTACCAAGTTTATACATAAAGGGTAAAGTCTAACACATTAAAATTTTATTCTTCATTTTCTAAATATTCAAAATGTTAAATTTGTCCTTTTATATGATTGTTATTGCTGAGAGCACATTTGATGAGAGGGATAATGATAGAATTTCTAATAATACTAGTCTCTGATCCAAAGCACGATTTGTCATTCTGATAAATACAAAAATTTGTATTTTGTGTGATATTATTATTATTTTGTGTAAATCCTTTAAGCATTCATGAAAATAAAGAAAGTCGTTTTAAAGTATTAGGGACTATCCTATCTTTGGATGGTCAAATTAACAATCTCTTAAAAAAAGACCAAATTAATCATTTAGTCATGTCAATATTTGTCTAGTGATATAAAATCGTGTTGGATCCTTAAAATGATTAAAAGGTTAAAAGTAAATTACACTCACATCCCCTGAGTTTTAGTGAAATTATACAAATCATCTCTTAATTTTTTGTCATTGCACGAACCACCTCTAATTTTGTATATATGTTACACTGACTACCTCTGCATGATATAAATTGTAATATTTTAAACAAAAAAACGTATGATGTGTAATTAATTAAACAAAATATTATACATTGTGTAGACAAATTCAAATAATATAAGAGTCAATGCGTCTTCATTATTTGACTCATTATAAAATAGTATAAGAGTTATTTAAACATTTATTTGAAATTATTAATGTATTTTTTAATGACACAAAAATAATAAAGAAACACTCGCTTTTGTACTATTTGAAGTGTTACACAATATACAATATTTTGTTTAACTTAATTACATTCATCACACGTTTTTCTTTAAAATATTACTCTTTTATAACATGGAGGGGTAGTCAGTATAAGATATGTATAAATCTATGAGTGGTTTGTGTAGGAGGGAGGGGTAGTTGGTGTAAGGACAAAGAAGGGATGAGTGATTTGTATAATTTCATTAAAACTCAGAGGATGTGAGTGTAATTTACTCAAAAGTTAATGGTCCAATTCTTGACAACAATATTTCTTGGAAGAGTAATTACATACCCTGAAATAAATTAATTCATTACCTATAAGATGAGAAGCTAACACTTGATAATATCCCTAAAACAATAATTGAGCTCTACAACTGTTTTTCACCCTTAAAACAATAATGTTAAATATAAGTTATGACTAGTGTAACATTAGTCTATATTTTAATGTATGGATTGTTATAGTAAAGTTTTATATTAGTTATTTGTGTAAAAATTCTTACATTTTTCTTCTTAATCTATTTATTAATTGTTGAAGGAAAAAATGTTCAGCCACTATTCCTGCCGAACACCTGTCATTAATATATGCAATATGTATATATTAATGGTGTATAATTTTTTATATTACAGATGTATTATTTATTGTTCATTTTCAATTATCATTAACTCTTAAATAAAAATAATAAAAATGCATGGTGGATAATACTTTTTACACTTTCATTGCATATTGCATAGATATTACTTTCATTGTTTATTGCATTAGACATTTAATCTTCTACCCCTAACATTTTTTACCTGAGAAAAATGTATGCACCGATAGTGTAATTGATTTTTACATTATCGCTGCATTATGTACCATTTATTTTCAATGATCATTAACTAAAATTAATTCAAATGAATGATAGATAATACAATAATTATATATAAATCTTTATATTATCGACAGATAAATATTTCTCTCTTATTGATGCACCTCTCAATCACTTTTTTTGGTCGGCCCTCTCAAGTACTTTTCCCTTGGTATAAGACGATACACTATCACTTATTACAAGTAGATTAAATCTCCCTTGAAAAAACCTTTCATTTTCTACTGTTTCTTTATTAATAAAACCTTCCATTAAAAAATATCTTTTTTTTTGTACAAATATAAAAGGCAAAAGCAAAGCAAAGAAAACAAACTAGAGCCTCAATAATCTAAATGAATAACACCTAGAACTTATAAAAGGAGGGTAATAAAAAATATATGATTATTGCTAACATTATATAATGCCATGGCCACCAATCTCACAGAGTTCTTAAGTTTGGTGTCTAAACTAAATTGAGAATTGACCTTAAGCGGGTACTTAAAAATATATTTTGATGCTCATGTCAATATTTATAGAGGGGGTGAAGAATCTAGAGAG